ATGAGAATATGCAATTTTTCACATTGCTGTAATTTTTAGAATGAAGAATTAAATGATTTAATGGATGAAATAATGAAAAAGCAAGCCACTGAAATATAAGAATAACATACAGTAAAAGACAGTAGTATAATTGAACTAGTATACTCCTGCAGCCCATTGATATTTGTGACTTTCAGCAATATCCTCTTTGTTCTGTTATAAGCAGTTGTTTTTTTTAATAGCAATTGCATTTCATGGAGATGGCCGGGAGAATCTTGAATGGGATGAAGGATTTTGGGGTAAAGGAAAAGCTTTCTGGGGTGGATTCTGAAGAGTACAATTTAATTTTAAGTAGCTCAGGTCACCTGAGTGAAGATACAAAGAAACTGGAGAACATTACGAGGGAAAAACGAATAAAAACAGAAACATGAATCAATTGCATTTCACCTACTTTTTAACTTCCCTTCTGCTCTCTGCTTCTCCTTCCTTCATCTAGAAGATTAGTAAAGATCCTGAAAGAGACTGTGAAGCTCTAGAGATGCTGATCCTCCCTTCAGAAAGTGAGTCCATGTGAGAACTTCCTGGCCCTATACTTACCATTACCTTCCTCTGCAGAGCCAAAGATGCCAAACCCCCTTCAGGGGTAGATGGGGGGATGACTAGATTCTGGGATATTTGAGGAAAAGCAGAGATCTACTTGAGCATACTTGCACTCCCACAACTTTTGATTGAGAAGGCTTCCTTCACTCTAGCTTTTTCTGTCTGGGAAATGCCAAAGGCAGGACCCTAGAAAAGACTTTGTTGGGAAAGACCAGAGTCAATAGTAGCCAATGGCTACTAGAAGGTATCCATGGATATAGACTAACTTATCCACAGTTTGTCATCTCCAGAGGCACTCTTAAAAAGCTTATTTCCCGTTTTAGGGTAGTGTATTACCAAACAGGAGAGAGAGTACCCATTATAGATATGGCAACTGGGTGACAAAAGGAAGAAGTCACAGTTTCACAGATTATTCCTGGAGTTCTCAGAGATTTCTGTTTCTTGAAGGCAACTACATATTTATAGTACATATCATCTCATACAATCTGTCCCCGAATTGGAGATACAACCAACTTCATATAATTTTAGGTTTTTTTTTTTTTTTAATCCAGATATCACCACTGTACTCCTTTCAATTAGGGGAAGTAAAATAATGAATTTTCACTCTTATCAGAGAAATTATACAAATTTTAGAGTTAGGAAAAATATATTAATGGGTATTCTTTCAGTGGAGTACTGCATGTGAATTTCTATCAGCACATCTACTTTATATCTGTAGGGATAGGGGTTAATTAGAATTTCATTCAGAATAAATGCAAATATGTCTAACCAATGGAATGCATAACCTCAAATGTTATGATTTATTAGATTGTAAGACACTAAACCAGATTTTGTGTATAATCTTGTGATTATCTACCAGCATCTCACATGCTCTGTGGTTTAGTTTTAACGTTTTATTGGTATCCTCATTACATAATGAAATTAATAATATCCTTGATTTGTCCACTTTACCTTTGATAAGAAAGTTGTTAGCTTTTTCCAGATTTTATCTTTCAAATTCTATGTTCCAGCGATTTTCCTAGTGGGACTTAGTTTACATATAAATAATGCCATATTGCTTTACAGCCTTCCCTATTTCCTACAACCACATGACCTCAAACTCCTATCCAAGTCATTAGATGATTGATTCTTGGTTTTTCATAAGCCTAAATCCATGATCTTGTAATAAGTTGTTAATCAAAGTTAGCTTTATCTACACTAATTAAAGAGTAGGTAATTGGAAAAATATTTAATAGGTTAAATTTATTTTTCTCTGTCCTTAGCACTCTAACAGCAGATATGTAAATCAAAATGTGATATGGACCTAATATGAATACAGACTGAGTTCACCAAGAGAAAAAATAAAAAATTAAATGAAAAATAATGGCACCTAAATATTACAGCACCATTGAAGATTACATTACAAAAATTTTTACAAAGGAAAAAAAGTTATAATAATGCAGTCACAGAAAACACTTAAAAATAATGTGCTGTTTATCCCCATAACTTCTATGATATTACACTTTCCAAGTGGTAGTTAGCTAGCCTCTGAGCTATCATATACATAATAATTTCTTCTACAGGAAATTTCTCTCTTTAGTATGGTCAATTTTTACTTCATTGTTATTATCTTCATTAAAGTAGAACCACAAAAAGAAACACTTGTATTAATTAGTATTTTATAATTTTGTATTATTTCTCACCCATCCTTGATGTTATTTTTGGGCATTTCATTCCAGAAGATGGTCAAAAACACATTGAAGGAAATTATACAAAAGAAATAAGAAAAATTACTAATGTTGCATAAAAGAATTTCTTTTCCTTGTTTACTGTATGAAATATCAATCTGGCTAGTATAGTTTATAAAATTGTTAATGTTATTTCTACACTGTCAAGAAGTATTGTTAAATATACTATCAAAGTAAAAGTGGAGAAGAACATAAATAAAAAAACTTGTTTCTAGGCAAATTTCCTGCAATATGGTATTTAACTTAAATAGAAAATAAAATCCTATTCACCTGAAATGTCAAATTTTCTGTAAAAATTCCTGATAAATATTTAAAAAATTAGTCTGTTTCTGTTCCAGTGGTTATCCTTCAAGTTTAAGTTGATGAGAGGTTTTACTTAAAAACAAAATTAGTTTATGACAAATCATCTATCACTGGCTGGATTTCTTTAAACATTAACTACCATAAGCTAAAAACCTTTAAAAACCGAAGTTGAATTTGGCACAAGGTCACATTAATATATCTCTCATTGTCTCCAAGCGACACTTGCTGAATATTACCTTAGGCTTCATTTTTAACATTCCCTCTGGCATGCTGAGATTAGATGTGACATTTCTTGGTCAGAATAAAACACAAGGTCAATTTTAAAGAATATAATACTATATTTTTTCACTGCAACTTTGCATTTGCTTATCGATAGCACACAGGCAGTTCATTTTAAAGCATGGGTCTTACGAACTATTACTAGCACATACTGAATTCTTCTTACAAGAAGCTGCCATTGTTCCAGCCTGTATGACTACAGGAGCCCTCAGCAAAGTCCCTGAGAAAATAACCACAGAGGGCACAATCCCCAGCTCCTGCTGTAGCAGTTTGAGTGAGTTTATCCTCTCACTGCCTGGGCAGGGTGATAATTTCATCAGCAGAAGATTTCTCACTGAGATGTTACAAAGGATGATTGGCTTTTGCAAATCCATGAGAACTATTATTCAACTTTACTAGGAATTAAATAAGATTTTGTATAACATCAAATGAGTATCAATTTTTATAGAAGTACTTAAGAAACTAACAACCCATGGTAAGTTTGTAATAGGAAGAAAAATTTTGAAATGTCATGAATTATGCATAATGTTTTCTTTTTCTTCCTATACCCTTAAAATTAAAATTATAATAATACAAATCCACATTTGGCCTGACAGCCAGATTTGTACTCATAATCACCCTGTCACATCCACTTACCCTGATTAGAGTCAATTAGTAAATGAAAACATAAAAATATACTTGTTTTATTCTATGAATGAACTTCAAGGCTTGTAAAATTCAAGCATTTTTCTAAACCAAATAAATGGCTAGTTTGTCAAAAATCAAATCAAAAGATCTTATAAACTATTAGCAATATCTAATAAAAAGGAAACTGTCAACTTGAAAATTAAAATACATTTATAATTCTTGGTATGGCTATTGGTACTAAGCTACATGGCACAATAAAATATGTAAAAATCTAAATACACAGTTATGGGTTTATTTTTCTTGGTCTACGTTATATCTAGAAAGGCACACCTAGAAGTGAATTTAGTATCCTGATTACAGGATTGTGTTACCAGTTCAGATTATCTGAAAATTTGAAAATAATATCCTTACTCCTTAATTTTAAATATAATCTACAAACAACTAGAAGAAATTCAATTAAAAGCCAGGAACAACACATTCCCTTTTATGTAATTTTGGTCTGTCTTGATAAGTATCAGGAAATGCTAGCATATGTTGCCTGTGCTATGCTACTTCAACCTCTGTTAAATAAAGTGGCTGTCAATATCTGGGTTGAAGTCACAAAGCACAGATAGCTCTTCATATCTATAAGGAGTGCAATGAGCCATCCATGCTAACTCAACAGAGAGAACATTTGCTAACAACATGATTGTAGAGACCCATTGACTTGATGGATGTCTGGGATTGTATAGCATCCAGAAACCCAGGACAAACATGGTAACCTATTTGCAAGCTGCTAACAGGTGCCTTTTATCCTTCCTGGCCATTTATTAGTATGAGACAGGCTCCCTGTTTTCTCTCTTTAATGATACTGTTCTATGAACCAATGAATGTTTTCATTTGGAAAATAACAAAGCATTGATAGTTTATTTGAACTGTGGTTTCTTTAGTGATGCCCAGGGAATAGATATGCTAATTCTGTGATCTGAAGAATGTACTGGGTAGAGCCCATCACTTCACTGATTTCAGTGACTATTAGGCCCAGGTGGGAAAAGGTTAATACTACATACCATGGGCTATTTCATCATGCAAAAGTTTGGAATTAGAAATGCAATGAAGAATTTCAGTAACATTTGGATATACTTTGACATGGTGATTTTCATAGTACATTCTCCAGTGTCAAGTTTAACCCATCATTTGTTAATTATAATACTTGAAGCAATTTACCTCAAGCTATTATTTGATTCTTCATAAAAGAAGCAGTTACAGTGAAAACTACTACAGAAATCTGGAAATATTCACAAAAAACTTACACAATTAATGCCTTTTCAAATAGGAATAAAAAACAATCTTCCTCATATACACACAAACATACAAAAACATATTCCTCCAGGAAATAAATTTTCCTTCAAACACCAGGGCTTTTACAGAAAGAGCTAAATAACAGCCTACGTGCCAACTGGAAATAATTTTTCATAGCTTTAAAACTGGAACGAAACAACTCTCAACATTTGCAAAACATTCCTTTATTATTAGAAATAAATTATTTGTATAAAAATTTGCATGCATCAATCATTGCATTTATTTTTAGCACAACCCAGGGCTTCAATCCGGTCAGCCATTACAAGAAACAGACTCATTGTCTTATACAAGTTGAACAATGTGGGACAGGAACGGGAGTTCTCACAATCACAGAAAAATACTTACAAGAATAACATCAGACATGGTTTATTTCAACAGCATTTTTTCCACAAGCTAACATTAGTTTTCTTTTGTGATTTTTTTTAAACTGCTCAAGAATAAGCAACACTTTAGCTTGACACTCATTGGTTGTATTGTATAAAACGGGTTTCTCCACTCCCTGTTATTGATACTTTTGGCTCATGGCTAATTTTTGTTCCTTACAAGACTATTGATTTGATTGATTGTAGTCTACGGAGATCGCCAGGAGTGAGTTTTTGTAGTCTCATGTTCATTGTTTAAGATCACATATGACTTTCTTCAGATTGCATCATTTTTCTGTTTCAGATTGAATGATTGCTGTAGCTGATATAAGTCGTCTTGGTAGAAGAAGCTGGTAAGAAAAATTAGTAAAGGATTAACAATATATGATAATGAATAGTAATTATTTTGTCAATGATTATAATAATTTAAATCTTGCAGTGATTGTTTAATGATATCTAATGTATCTATAAGGTATGTTAATATATATATTAATAATATAGGTATTATTTAAATCATATGGTAAAACCATGAGGTAGAAATTCCATGTTTATAGAAATAAAAATGCAGCAACAATTCAATCTGCTTATCTATCTCATTTAGAGTGTACAGCTACTTAATAGAAAACTAAAACCATTAAAGTGTGAGTTTTTAAATATATTTAGTTGGAATTTAAATGTTGACTAACAAAGATATACATATTTGTAAAACAAAAGTTATTTGCCCTGCAGATTAAAGACCTCAATTCTTAGTCTGATCTGAAAAGCAAAATTACATTAAGTAATTATATTGCCTTCAGAATGAATATATCTTCCATTTAAAAATAAGTATTTCAGAGTCTAGATATGAACATGGTAAAATATCAAGTACACATGAGTTTGTAAATATTAAATATGTGCATTTCCAATGCACATTCATGGTTTGTTTTTATTTCAAGGGATACAAATGGAGATGTTTAGAAAACAAAAGACTCAAAGAAGGAAATGAATATTTAATTGTCTGTTACCAACTTACTGTGAAGTAAAACTCATTATTGTGAGACTATTAGAGAGATATGAATAACAAAATAGTCTATGTCAAATTTATACTCATGATTAAACTTCCAGAAAATCTAAATCTAAATCCAAATAATTCCTTTGGGTTTTTCAAAGACTTTATAAAATAATCTATTCATTAAAATTCAAATGTGATCTTCTATTTTTCAATGGGATTCTGTAACATATAGTCATAAGTAAAATGAATTTAAAAAGAAAATATGTATTATTTCAGTGTATAAATCCAATTCAGGATGAAACAGATTTTTAGAGACATATCTAGAAATTATAAAACTTCTCCTCTGAAATAATTCACAATCAAACTCACTGTAAGTGTGTGACATTGATTACTGACCAGACAGGTCCTTGTCAGAAACCAAGATCATACAAAGTTCACAGTCACTGTAATTTACACAGAAGCTCAAGGATCTTTTTATCATAGTTGTTTTCCCTATTTTTGATTTGACAGATGAGTGTCATGACAAATAGGTGACAGGTCTGCTTATCCTACCCACACTGCTCACATTTCTAAGATATTATTGTGGCACAGTGGTAAGGAAGTAGATTTTATGCTTGGGTTTAAGTTATATTTTGTTGTCTACATCTTGAGTGAAAACATGTCACTGAACCAGGCCCTTTGGGGTCCATTTCATCACTGGTTAGAAATCTACAGCAAAAAGTTATTGTGAGGTTTTTAGGAGATCAACCATAATCTTGGAGTAGCAACACAGAGTTGTATTCTTTTTTTTTTTTTAACTTTTATTTAATGAATATAAGTTTCCAAAGTACAAATAATGGGTTACTATGGCTTCCCCCCCATACCGTCCCTCCCACCCACAACCCTCCCCTTTCCCACTCCCTCTCCCCTTCCATTCACATCAAGGTACTCTTTCTAAAAGTTAAGGTAGCTATTATATTTATTTGATACAAATTGAAACACAATCAGTGTGTGTTTAAATTATTTTGATTAGAGATATGCAAGTGAGATAACAGGGAAACTTTAAAATTTGTATAATGACTACAGATGACCCTAAGTTCCCTCTAAGATAATAAAGTACTTCATTTGTGGAGGGTTATAACCATTATAGACATGATAAGTTATCGTCAGAGTTAGTAACATGGCCATTACAAGTTGTTCAGTTTCCTGTACTGTTCAATATTTTAATGATATCCAAAAACATAAGAAATATTTATCATTTTTTTAAATAGCTACAAGGAAAATTAGGGTTGAAATTGAGGAATGATAAATTGGATTAGATCATTTTTAAGGATCATTCTAACTTAAAAGCTCTGGAGCTAATCAAAGTTTCATACTTCATTTTTTGGACTCTTAAAATTGATCTCTAGGAAGAAACATGGTAGAATTATATTGAGAAATGAGACTTCAATATACAAGAAAGTAGTGGTAATTACTGTACTGGTTCCAAAAGGAAGTTCAAAGCTGTGTAAATACTTGATTTAGGCAACATGAAAATAATGATGAGACATAAAAAAATGGCAGATATTTTGCATGATTTCCTTAAGCTTTGATTTAATGAAATCAAATTTCATAGTTACAACTTTAGGAACACAGTGTTTCTTCCCCCCATATCTGCCCTCCAACCCCCACTCCCCCCTCTTCCATCCCATTCTTCATTAAGATTCATTTTTAATTAACTTTATTCACTTAGTATAGAGTTGGTCTTCTGTATATAAGGATTTCAACAATTTGCACCCACCCACACAAAGTATGAAGTACTGCTTGACAACAGGTTTTGCGGTTAATTCTCTGTACTAAGTACAGAGGTTCTACGTGGTCCTAAGTGCACAGTGACTCCTCTTGTTAAAATAACAATTAACACTCACTTATGATGTCAGTGATCACCCGAGGCTCTTGCCATGAGCTGCCAAGGCTATGGAAGACTTTTGAGTCTGCAAACTCCATCAGTATTTGGACAGGGCCATAAGCAAAATGGAAGTTCCCTCTTCAGAGAAAAGTACATCCTTCCTTGATGGCCCCTTATTTCCAATGTCCAGTGGGGTCTCACTCACAGAGATCCTTCATGTAGGACTTATTATTATTTTTTTTTTTTTTGCCACTGTGTCTTTGCTTTCCATGCCTGAAAGGCTCTAATGGGATTATCTGCTAGTCCAGAGTCCCTTAAGGTCAGAATGTTGTTTAGGGCATTTGTCATTCTATGAGTCTGCTCTATGGACTGCTTCCCATGTTGGAACACTTTCTCGTTTTTAATTCCATCTATAGCTATTACCAGACACTTGCTCTTATGTATGTGGTCCCTTTAACAATAAATCCTATCTATATTATCAATTAAACACTTAATATGATCACTTTAACAAATAAGATGGCATTATTACCACCCAGATTAATGAGATTTGGAGTCCCAGGGCAAGTTTTTAGCTTTACCCTTAGGGGCAAATCCGTGGGAATGGGTGCATAATTGTACAGTTCCTATCTCTCTTATTTCCACTCTTATTTTTACTTGGATCTATTATCAACTGGCTTTATACACCTATAATTAATTCTATGTTAAGAGTCCAACCAATGTTATTAAGTAAAAAAAATAATTAAAAATTAAACTAAACTGTTTCTGGACAGTCAAAGGCAAGGGGTGATCAAGTCACTGCTTCTCATAGTGCCAATTTCACTAATACAGGTTTCCTTTTAGGTGCTCTGTAATCACAGATCAGGGAGAACATGTAGTATTTGTCCCTTTGGGACTGGCTTATTTCACTAAGTATGATATTTTTCATATTAATCCATGTTGTTGCAAATGACCAGATTTCATTTTTACCACTGTGTAGTATTCCAGTGAGTACATATCCCATTATTTCTTTATCCAGTCTTCCATTGATGGGCATTTAGGTTGATTCCATGTCTTAGCTATTGTGAATTGAGCTGCAATAAACATAGGGGTGCAGATAACTCTTTTATTTGCTGATATCATTTCCCTTGGGTAAATTCCGAGGAGTGGGATGACTGGGTTATATGGTAGGACTATATTCAGGTTTCTCAGGTATCTCCAAACTGTCTGCTATAATGGTTTTACCAGTTTGTATTCCTACAAACAGTGGATTAGCGTACCTTTACCCCCACATCCTCACCAGCATTTGTTGTTAACTTCTGTATGATAGCCATTCTAACTGGGATGAGATGAAACCTCGTTCTGTGTTTGATATGCATTTTCCTGATGGCTAGTGATCCTCAGTATTTTTTCATGTATCTGTTGGCCATTTGGATTTCCTCTGTTGAAAAATGTCTGTTTAAGTCCTTTGACCATTTATTGACTGGGCTGTTCATTTTGTTGGTGAGTTATTTGAGCACTTTATGTATGGACTCCTGGGCTTCTCTGTGTGTCACCAGCTTGTATCCCTTCTCCTTATTAAGAAGGTCCTGTTGCTATACCACCATGTTGGTCCCTTCCCTTGCATGAATTTTTGTGAAGTATTACAAATCAAAATGGATTAGAAATGTGCAGATGAGCTAATGGGAGTTTTTTATAGTGGTAGTGAATATGCTTATCTGAAAATTAATTTTGGAGTATAGCAATGATAAGTTATGTGTTCATAACCTAAAGAAAGCAACAGTACCTGTTTTCATGATGTATTCATGAACATAGCTTAACAAAGGGAATGTACAGTTTTTTGTTACTTGGGTAGAGTTGAAAAAATTCATTTACACATATGAAGTTCACTTCTATCTCCTCCTTACCCTTTATGGAACATTTATTTTTTAGGCAAAATGCAGTATTTACAAGTCACCATTAAGATGAGATATCTGAATATGAGGACTTGAAGGACTCCATGACTGTGAAAGAATAGCATTCCATGTCATAACTATACCAACAATGCATTAGTAGTTGTAATTATCAAAATCGAGGGATATTAAAGTAATAGTATTTGAATATCAAAATTTGCTTTTCCATTAATTAGACAAATGTACATTTTCATGAAAATTTTACTAAAACCCATCTTTATTGTGCCTTCACTTGCAATGCTGTATTTGTTTTTATCCTGTAATTTATAGTTTATAAGACAATTATTTCAATTTGTAATGGTAATTTGTCAAAAATCTGGCATTTGAAAGTATGAGAACACAGCAAAAGAGATTCTGTTCCAATGGATTAACCAGTCTAGGATTTATTTGGAAGGTATTTTAAGAACATTCATGTTTTAATTTATTAAAGGAAAAATCTTTGCTAGTAAGTGTAAACATATTAAGAACAATCTTTTTCCTTTTTTAGATATACAGTTTTAACAGCATAATTATAATTCCCATCCTACCCTAAATTTGAGGAGTGGTGCTCGTTATAGATGAGTGACCTAATGTAAAGTCATAGTATAGTATACAGAGTCTAGGTAATAGGAACACAAAGAGTTTGCAATGCCTGTGCCAGTTTTCACACTTGGACTCTGACATTCTCAATTGTAAGCATTGTTGTCAACCCTTTCATCATAGGATGGTCATGTAACAGAATAAGGATTAATAATAGTAACCTGAGCGAATACTCTAGAAGGATCTGTGAAGTTTTCATACACCATCCTGGGTAAAAACTAATCATTTTATTCTAACCTCAACTCTCCAATTTCACCATCTTACAGTAATTGACATTGTTGCCATCATTTCCCAAATGTGGATAGTTGACTTTCGCTCTAAACAAGTCTCATGTTTGAAATCTTTTATCCATATTTTAGAGAAAACAGAGAAAGGTGTGTATGCTATGAAATTTGCATTTCAACATGAACAGAAAAAAAGCAGAAAATGTATGAGACTAACTTCAGTGAATTGAGATTAGTCCTTGTCAATACCAGAACATAACTATTCTTTCCCATAGGTGATTTTGGTATTACTAGTACTTTTATCACTGTAAGTCTTTTTCCCATTTGAATGAACCATGTTATATTAAGTTTTCTGGATCACTGTTTAAAAACAGGTACAATAGACTCCAAGAATTGCCAGTGTTCAGACTGTATCTTTGGCCAACAGCAGTTTATTGATATTCTACAATGAGTTTTAACTTCCTACACAGATGCTTTCAAGTTTGGGGAAAAAAAAAAACAGATGAATTTCTACCTTGAAATCACAAGCACTCTATTCTGATGCCTTTAACAGTAGTTTTAGTACATTTGTACTAGAGGACAAAATAGGCCCATTATTAGTAAATTGCTTAGATATAATCAGAGATGATGACAATGATTTGTTACTAAAGCCCACCCTTATCATGCCCTCTCTTGCAGTTTCACTTTGGTAGAAAGGTGAATATGTGGGGAATATTTGTGAATTTTTTCCTAGGTTCCTTACTCAAAAAGTGATGAAATTTTATATCACTTATCTGAAGTTAGTCTTTTTAGAGTCAATCTGGATAATAATTCCAGGTAATGTGGTGGTAATTGAAGGCAACTGTAATCATCTAATGATAGTTCTGTGTATGAGACATTAGAATAGGTAATTCTCACCTGAGAATCTTGATGCAAGAAAAGGGTTGCAAACCTAGTGAAGACTATGAGATACTACAATAATTAAACCACATAAAATTGATTCTTAGTCTCCCTCTGTATTCAGAGAGTAAAGAATATAGTATTCTGGAAGAATTGAAGAGAATATTTTTCAGATTTTTTGCCCTTAATTTTTTTTTAAAGTACAGCTTATGGATTACAATGGCTTCCCACCCGCAACCCTCCCCTTTCCCACTCCCTCTCCCCTTCCATTCACATCAAGATTCATTTTCGATTCTCTTTATATACAGAAGATCAGTTTAGCATACATTAAGTAAAGATTTCAACATTTTGCTCCCACACAGAAACATAAAGTGAAAAATACTGTTTGAGTACTAGTTATAGCATTAAATCTCAATGTACAGCACACTAAGGACAAAGATCCTACATGAGGAATAAGTGCACAGTGACTCCTGTTGTTGACTTAACAAATTGACACTCTTGTTTATGGCATCAGTAATCACCCTAGGCTCTTGTCATGAGCTGCCAAGGCTATGGAAGCCCCTTGAGTTCACTGACTCTGATCATTTTTAGACAAGGCCAAGTGGAAGTTCTTTCCTCCCTTCAGAGAAAGGTACCTCCTTCTTTGATGACCCATTCTTTCCACTGGGATCTCACTCGCGGAGATCTTTCATTTAGGTTTTTTTTTTTTTTTTTCTTTTTTCCAGAGTTCTTGGCTTTCCATGCCTGTAATACTCTCATGGGCTTTTCAGCCGGATCCGCATGCCTTAAGGGCTGATTCTGAAGCCAGAGTGCTGTTTAGGACATCTGCCATTCTATGGGTCTACTGTGTATCTCACTTCCCATGTTGGATCATTCTCTCCCTTTTTTATTCTATCAGCTAGTATTTGCAGACACTATTCTTGTTTATGTGCTCCCTTTGACTCTTAGTCCTATAATTATGATCAATTATGAACAGAAATTGATCACTTGGACTAGTGAGATGGGATTGAATTGGAATCCCCTGGTATGTTTGTAATTCTAGCGTTTGGGGTAAGTCAGCTTGAGCATGTCCCGAATTGCACATCTCTTCCCTCTCTTATTCCCACTCTTATATTTAACAGTGATCACTTTTGAGTTAAGTTTCAGCACTTAAGAAGAATTGTGTATTGATTACAGTATTCAACCAAAAGTATTAAGTAGAACAAACTTAAAATAAATGTGCTGTACTCCCAAATGCAAGGGTCTTAGCTTTCATTTGTTTATTGGTGCGTATATAGAACCTGGCAATCTATTTGCTACTCTTCCAAAACAGCAAGATGAACTCTAATAGATGAATTAATCTTCACTGGATTAGCTCAAATGTCAGTGTATTGTTATCATGTACTTCTTCTGGGGTGGACTGCAGAGAAGAGGAAGAGAGGTAAGGAAAAGAAAGATGAGGTGATGTTTGCAGGACAGCCTGAGCGTTTTAGAGGTATTTAAGAAGGAAAATTTCAACATGAGCTAAAAGAGGTTGACAACTTGTGAGAAACAAACATTAACTATGACTTAATATGTTGGCTATCTGGTGTTCTTATTCCTCTAAAGACTATCATTCAGGGGTCGGCACTGAGACATAGTATGCTAAGCTTTCACCTGCTGGTGCTGCCATCCGATATGGCCACCGGTTCATTTCCTGGCTGCTCCTCTTCCTATCCAGCTCTCTGCTAGGGCCTGGAAAAGCAGAAGATGGTCCAAGTGGTACGGCCCCTGCACTGGTGGGAGACCTGAAAGAAGCCCCTGGCTTTGGATTGGCCCAGCTCTGGCCATTGTGTCCATTTGGGGAGTGAATCAGCAGATGGAAGACCTTTTTGTCTCTCCCTCTCTCTATCTGTAAATCTACCTCTCAAATAAAATCTTTAAAAGAGACTCATCCATTGTGTAAGATCTATAGAAATTATGTTCCATAAATATTAGCTGCTATTTTTTTCAGTAATCTGTTAATATTTTGGCACCATTTTTGTTAATTAAATATTATCTTATACATGGAAAATCCTTCCAATCCTCAGGATTTATAATGCTTCAAAAGACCTGTGTTGCCATGCTTTGGAAGAGAGATTTCATGTGCACCCCTGTGAGATCATTAAGCTCCACTAAATGTTTCTAACTGACATTAGGGTCTCATGGTTTGTGGGTAAGACCATGACCCTAGAGAAATGTAGCAGAAGAACAATGTTCAACGTACATCTGTTAGGAAGTGCTCCCGCTCTTGACCATCTGAAAGTCTACAGATGACTTACTGTTGGTTTCAAGACTCTCACAGAGTTCGCTTTTCACCTCGCCGTTCGGTCTGTCATTTCCCTTTTGGATCAGTTTGCTTTGCATGGTGGCAGCTGCCACCACAGCCTTGAAGCTCCTCTTACGTTTTTGAACATTCTGCTCTGGATGAAAAATTATGATATAAACCTTGGGCATGTAGAGCATCCCCAGAGACACCGAAGCACTTAAACTCATGGAGACAGTAAGTGTTGTTGTCTGGATGTACATCTGAATGGGAGAAAAGAGAAAGAATCATGGTTGGCAAGTCTGACCAGTAGAAGATAATATACCATTTTCTAAAATATTCAAGACTCTGCTAAATAAGTGCATTATAAATACTTATAGGAATAGTTGGCTATAATGAAGGGTAATTTCTATATCTCAACATGCAAGTTGAGTAAGGTTGTGTAGTTTATTAAACTCAGTCCCTTAAAACAGACAACTAAGTCTTAATAATGAAGATTCATTCCATCAGCTATAAACTACATAAGAGAAACTAGTCTAGCAAAACTTCATACTACATAGTCATTCAGGAAGAACCAGTGGTCCAACGGTTACTCTTTTAGAAATAAACTTAATCTTGAAGGTAAACTAGGTATAGTGGAAAGATTTGGAATGGAACATTCCAGAACATCACAACTGCACACATTACTTGAATAATGCTAATATTCACGTCTTCATTCTTAATTACCATGAGCAAGACTGCTAAAGGAAAATATTAAGTCTTTATAACATGTTTATGATTTAACAGCCCTTCTATAGAACAGTTCCACGAGGTTTTCAATGCCTAAATCCTATCAAAATACATGCAAGGGGATTTAAAAAATATGTAAAGCCTCCTTCTTCTGAGATTTAGATATGTTCTCTGCAGATAGAATCCTGGCATTTTGAAACCCCCCCCCTCCCCGGGCTCATTCCTTACGTATATCCTAACTAAAATCCATTGCTCTGGTATTTACAAAAGGAGTCCTCACTAGATTATTTTTCTCTCTACAACCAAGAGGTTAAGAAGCTAAAGGAAACAAACTCATTGTTTTGGCTTTTTCGTATGGTATGGAAGCAGACATGACAGTATTTTAACCTTAAAAACAAAAGCCGAATCTTTCAAGCTGTTTCCATTTTTTCATAAGTTCAAAATGCAATTTCCCCCAGATAACTGGGAATACAAAGTCCATGGAGAAACCACATCTTAGCACTGTGAAGTGATTCCCATTAATAGAGTCACTTACCTTAACAGCACCTCTGAAAAGGTAAAGCTGTCAGATTCCATCTGTGACAGCCAAGCTGCATCCTTTCAATAAAGGTCAAAGTGTCACCCTGCTGGCTTAATACCTAAATACACATCAGGATCCCTTTTTCTTTCTACTAATGGAGATGATTTCTCTTAACAGATATCAAAGCCTTCAGTAAACAAAAGCCCATACCATGAGAAGTTCAAATAAATACCAGTAAGGATACCATCCTTTTAAATGATACCATGTACAGCATTTATCTGACTGTTCAGTCCATCCACCAATAAGGCAGTCCCTATGTAATGGAATACTCTTCAACAAGGTGATAGAGAATCAGTTCATTTTAAAAGTCACCTCCTCTGAGAAATTTGTGAGGATGAATTCTAAATCATTTTTACTTCTAAGCATTAATGTGTTGAAATGAACATAATTAGGTACTAGCTAATATGTGGTGGAATGAGAAGGCCATGTCAAGATGGCCACTGGCAATGGAGCCTGCCTGGCAACAGGCTCTGATTGGTTAGGGCATAAACCACCCCTTGACTGAATTGGCTGCCTCGGCTATATAAGCTGCCATACCAACTGAAATAAATGAGTCTGTGGGCTGCTCGCCTCTGGCCCACTTTCACCTGAGTCCCGGGGTCTGTGTGGTGACTCTGTGCTTCTTGCCCCTACCACACTCCTCCTCTCAGAACGAATCCACAGCAACACTAACATACTTGTATTCACTTGTTTGGACTTGTATTTATATGAATTGCACTAGAAATATATACTTTCTTAGAGCAAGTAACCTACATTTTTATGTATGTCTGTAAGAAACTATACAATAATCACTCAGAAATTTCCCATTATTATCAGGTGTATGCAGGTCTTCAGAATTTTTATATAAGTTAAACAAAATATGCTCCCTACCATTCTCTTTTATGCCAAATAGACATCAAAATGGCTAACACATAGAATTGTTAGCATTTTGAAGAAGAACCTAAATTATAAGGTATGAATCTCAGACTCTAGGCTAGGCTCATTCATATCCGTCTCAAGAAAGACATTCAAATAATTCACATATTACTACATCTCATGGTCTCTCCTGACAATAAGTGAAATCCCATGTTAAATTGGCAAATACTAAATGTTTACTACAATTCAGGATATCCTAATGCAATGTGGGTAAGTGCCCTGAAACCTCCCTAAGCTTTTACCTTCTACTTTTAAGCAACCTATCATGAGTACACCCAAGCTTCTCATGTGTCAGTTATTCTTCTTTGAATTCATGCTTTTTTTAAAGGTTTCACTTCTTTAAAAATCCTTGTAGGAAATGAATGCAAAGAAAAGTCATAAAATTAGTGAAAGAACTTGGCAAAGTGAAAAACCCATAAATATTCCAAAGCCACTCAAATACATAAACTACAGTATGTCCCAGTCAAACCCTGACAATTCAATTTAGACTAAAAACAAACTCTAGAGATCAAACAGCCATGGAATGCTGAGAATGCCTATACTAATTAGTTGGATTTTTTTTTAAAATGTTTTAATTTATTAGTCTTGTTAAATGTGTGATACTAGAGGCAGACGTGGCACAGCAAGGCACAGAGTGCTGTGCTATAACAGAGCGCTGGTTCAAATCCTGGATCCACTGCTCCCATTCTTGGGAAGAGAGTGTATGATGCAGCAAGCGGAGTTCCCCTGCCACTCATGGGGGAGACCCAGATGCAGTCCCTGGTTCTTGGTTTTAGCCTGGCCCAGCCCAAGCTGTTGTGGGCATCTCAGTCTCTTTCTCCTCGCTGTCATTCTGCCTTTCAAATAATATAAATGGAGATATTATACATTTTATTTTATAAACATTTTTACTCTTATACATTTCTTCTACTACCAAAAAATGAATGATGATTTTCTCCTCTTACCCAGAACAACTTCTGAGATATATAGTAAATTTAATCTTGCTAAATACTAGGCATGAGAGAGATTCTTGAATGCTGGCTTCCTCATTAATTACATTACTACAGTCTATCTGTTTGGCAAGCCAATACGATGAAAGATGTAATAGACATTAGAACTAAACAGGACTGGGCTTAGTGTACCAAGCTCCCTATTAGACACTATGCTTTCAAATTACTCCAAAATGCTGATCTTAATTATGTGCTCTCTTAAGGCAGTTTTTGGTAACTTTTAATGTGAGTTTAACACAGGAAAAGGATCTATTTAATGTCAATCTCTAAAATCTACAACTCTACAAACCCTTGGACTAGGAGTAGACTGAGCTTTTTAAACTTCGTCTGTCAATATTTAATGAAATGAAAGTCATCAATGCTGTCATTTCAATGAAAGCAAAAACAGCAAGACAAGCAAATAAAAATGTCTTCTATTCTCATTCTAGAGAACCTAAATTCTTAGTATCAGATTATAGATGCTACAGATCTAGTTTAAAAATTTGAAAATGGGCACTTAACTAAAAGAAAAACTTTGATTTTTTTTTATACCTGTGGAAAATTCTATTTACTTGAGCAATGTGGGGAAGAACGTGTTCCAGCAGACATCAGTTTGAATTCTAGAACTATCAACTTAGAGAAGTTTACAGATAAGTTCTTGGGTTACCCAGTGGCTGGCAACAGCACAAAGCCAGCCCGTGAGCTGACAATATAATTTCTAATAAAACTTCCTTGTGTTATTACTTTTCTCTATGGAATTTAACTTTGTATCTGTGAAATGCGGGTGTTGGAAAATTATATTTGTCATAGAGAAATTAGAGGATAGAATGATGTAATCTTTATAAAATGTCTTAGAAACACAACATAGTAGCTCAATAAAAGTTATTTACCCCTTGATTTGGCATCTAAAAGGACATTCTTGGGGCAGGCATTGTGGCTCAGTGGGTTAAGATGCCACATGAGACACCTGTATCTTATAACAGAGTGCCTCCTTTGAATCTCAGCTATTCCATTCTTCCAATTCAGCTCCTGGAAAATGCACCTAGGAGGCAACAGATGATGGTGCAAGTAGTTGGGTACTTGCCACCCATGTGAGACCCAGATGGGATTCCTGCTCCTGGTTTTACCAGGGCCTATCCCTTGTTGTTGCAGGCATCTGGAGAGTGAACCAGCAGTGGAAAGACCTCTCTATCACTCTTCCTTTCAAGTATAATTAAAAAAAATAGACACTGTAAAAGCTTCCTTTCAGCAGTATAGGACAAGAGAGGAACTATTAACCAAATGGCCAAACCAGACAGTTTTAGCTTGGTGAACATTTGATAGTCATGCTTATAGACTAGGAAGTGGCCTATGGAACCTCATTTCAAAGTAAGCAGAATAAAGTTCTGTCCAAGCATCAACTATATTTGCTGATGTCAAAATCATATCCCCTGTCTCGGCTGTATTTGTAGAACAGCTGCAGCTCTCTATCTCAAAGCTATTGCTCACCAGAATGCAAGAGGGGGCTCTATTTACTCTTGCAAACTCACATAAATCCATCAAGAGATGCTGACAATGACATCAGAAATGTTAATACTTTTCTCTTTTCCGTCCTCCTTTTATATGCCTTCTTGTGCCCCTGTCACTCCAAAATTCTGATACCCAGAGATGGGGAGTACCTCTTCTGTCACATCCACTGATGGCCTGTCACTTCCTGCTTCCACATCCACGGACATTCTGAGCATGAAGCAGTCAGAGGTACTGAAGCAGGTTTGCACCTGTTATCCAGTCTCTGGATAAGCCATGGAGGAACAGGCACAAGAGAGAATAGTAATAGGACAACTTTTCTGGGATTTTTTAAAGCTCCCTCTTCATTCTCTGAATTGATCATTTGTACACCTGCAGGGTTTACTGAATGTAGATCATGACCTGAAACCATTTAAGGCACTAGGAAGAATGAGGAATGAGGAGGATATAGTTTATATTTCTCCTGAAAAAAAAAAAGGATCGGTCTTTTATGTTCAGCTGCTACTTGCATACAGATTCCATAGATTCTGACATCCAACCTAGCAAGTAACCGAGATAACCTATT